GCTTCAACGGGTTAACTCATGTGCTTCACCCAAACCCCTCACTTAGTGTATTTATCAGCAAATGTTATCCAGTACTGAATTTAAAGCTGACCACTCATTAAGTTCTTTTTGTTCCCTCAGCAGGATAGTGCTAAACAGAATTGAGGCTGACAAGAACTGTGCTGTTTACAGAAGAAAAAACATGATCCAAACAGATAACTGCCAGACTTTAAAAAAGTGGATCTGCAAGAAGAATGCAACTTTGTTGGCTCTCTGAGCCAGACTGCCAGATAATACGTAGAGCTCTTTGTCAGAAGACCCATTTTACTGATAAAAACATCTGATGTAAATAAATCTATCAGACCTGCACAAAAGTTTCAATTCTGCTGTCCTGTGCCCTTTGCCTCAATGAGACAGTATCTGATAAATCAGGAGGGAGCTCAGAAGTTGCCAAGTTTCAATGTGAAGACCAAGCAGAAGGACTGTAATTCAGCACATGTGGTTTTGGGGGGCGCAGAGTGTTTCTACAAACAGACATTGGCAGAAGCTTGCTGCGGGAAAGGGGAGGGGACAACAGCAACTCATTTGAGGATGACACAACAGGTATAATGAACTGTGATGTGCGAGAAATCTGCCATCTGTGAGCGTGGAAGTGTGCGTTGGAGCCCACAGCTCTTGTTTATATCCCCGAGGCTGCCATTACTGAGCTGAGACACTTTTTATTTGGGATTCAAAATTTTAATGTTTTTTGAAGTTTTATGTTTTTTCCTTATAATCTAATAGTGACTCTCTCACAAGTCACTGGAGGGCCGGGAGAAATGCTTTTACTATGCACTTACACTTTTTCAGAGCTGGCCTGCATAACTGCCGGCAATACAGACACAAGACTAAGCACAGAGGTACTCAAAACACGTGTGGTTAATAAGCTGCTACCTTCTTCTGATACTGAACCTTATGATCTGAAAGTAAGCTCTTAACACAGGAAGGGGCTTGGACCAGAAGACCAGATTGCAGTGGAACAGTATGAGGAAATGGAGACAGTAGCCTGCCTTTCCTCCTCTCCTTGCCTTTTATATTGTGAATTCTCTGACGTGGAACTGTAAGTACCACCTGGACAGTATGCTGGAAAGGCATGATGAGGTACTGAAGCTACAGAGTCTGGTGAAATTACTGTCTGAGGATGCACCTAGTAAACACTCTGCTTGGTCGTTCTAATTTCAAGGACACATGCTATTTCTAGATCTAGAATAAAGGAATGATAGGCGCAGACTGACTTACTGATTTTATTATATTAGTATAGTTGGAAAAGTGAAGAAACGTGTTGAATTGATTTCTGTGAAAACAGAGGCACGTCACAATTGTTCCAGCTTTTACAAACACCTTAGTCTAATCCAGGTAATAATTATTCTAGATCTGTAGCTAGCATGTCTTTGAAACCAGAGGGACCAAAAGCAAAGAGAATGTTTGCATTTGCCATTTCCGTGGCTCATGTTGCAACAATCAGGAAAGCAAATAACATGTAATCAGGACATGTAAAAAAATAATATAAGGGAAAATGGAAGTGGAGCTGCACTAAAACTGTTTTCCTCCTGTTCGGAAGTCATGTACATTCACTTACGTATTATCAGGGCCCCGAGTACACAAAGAGGCCTTAAAGGCACTGACCAGCCTCTCCTGAGACTGTCACCCAGAACTCCTGCCTATGGGCTCAGGAGCCTTATCTAATCTCAGGCCTGAGCCTCCAGTCTCTGCTCGAGCTGTATCATAGATGTACCTGTCTCCAGCACTCCTGGACTGACCTCGGACCTTTGTTGTAGGTAGCTTTTCTCCTGGATGGATCCCTCCATCCAAGTATGTTGTAGCTTGTCTCTAGTCCTGTCTTTGTCCTTGTCTCTTGGATAGACTCTGGGCTGACACTGTAGCCTTGTCTCCACTCCTGTCTCTGGCCCCATTTCCTTTGGCTCCTGCCTGGAGTCCCCAGATGGACGCTGGACCCGGTTCATCGCCTCGTCTGGGACTTTTGATGGACTGTTACCATCACCCTGCTCCGCTTGCTGTGGTCAGACCCTTTGGGACTGTGCCCCATTGGGGAGGGCACTGCTGGTGCTGAGGTCCCCCTCAGCTTCTGGCTCGCCTTCCCTTAGGCACACTCATATGCACATCAGCTATTACCAAACATATCAAGCCCCATAGCTAGCACTTTCAGTTCTTTTGTACAGATCAAGCAATGAGTTTTGTATTCCCGCAAATAGTCTTTTCATTATTGGAGCCCAGAACTTTGGTTCTGCAGATTTTATTTCCCCCCATAATGCCCAGGTGCCTGGGGATCTCTGAATTACTCCTGCCCATTCAAAGACTCTCATATCTCTTCTATGTCCTAAACATCCACTGAGGCAGATTGCAATCCCTTTCATGCACAAATTCCCCCAAATCAAACACAGGACTCTTACAGCAGACTGTATACCATTTATATGTGTACTTCCACCCTCTGAGCTAACTTGTGTGTATGAACTTTATTTTCTTCTTACAGGAGCAGTGAGTGGAAAAAGGTCTCCAAGTGCAGAGGTAAACTGCCAAACCTTAAAAAGGTGGCTCTCCAAGAAAAAACACAACCTTGATTCTTCTCTGCCAGATATCAGGCACTATTTTTCACAGTCAAAAGAAATAGTTATCTTGCTTAAGTTAACAAGGGAGTCTACAAGAGGTAGATGAACACAGTACAATCTGTATATTTTACTGTAGCAAAGAATACCAACCCTCCCACAGTATGTTTGATTCTTGTTCACATGACTGATGTACTACAACCGTGGAACACAGTCATAACTCCGTTCAACATGGAAACAAAACAGAGAGACTGTTTTCTTTTCAGATGTGCTTTGAGTCAAAAATACCAGATAGAATAGCATCTGAGTCCTACGTACATGTCAGGCTGGACAATTAAACTGGCAGCTGGACCAGTTTATCCTTTGAATAAAACACCAAATACTTTTGATGTGGCATCTAATATTCAAAAAGTTCAGAAATTAGTTATGTTTCCAAACTATGAACCTGCAGTTTTATCGTAATTTTGTGGGGCAAAATAGCTGAGGCACTCTCATACTTACAAAGTGCTGTCTTACAAAAGCGTAAAATCTACTCTGTGCTTACAGACAGGGCTGCTTATGTAAATTTTCATTTTACCCACCGCAATTCTATTTCAGATTGGACTTCTTCACATGCCCCTTAAGTTAACTCTTTTTATGCAATGTTTTTCACAGTAAGAAGCTGTATTCTTACATCATGGTATAGAATCATAGAATAATTTATAGTGGACGGGATCTCAAGGTCCTTTTGTAGTCAGTGGGAGATTCTACATTGACAGGGTTTTACCAAAATTGTATGTACTTTGCTGGTGGGGGGGAACAAACGACATGAAAATCAAATGTGCTATTCTAACAAAAAATGCATAGAATGGAACTAAAATCCTTATAGCAGTGAAAGAGAGAGACAAGTCCAATGTGGCTTTCAAAACACATAGCCTTTAGATAACCTTTATTGTGATACATACAATTAAAGGCAGCTGCATGTTTCCAGATATGTTGTCTCATACCTGCACCAGATGTCAAATGCCCCAGTGGAGGCTTGTGGTTAATGTCTAGCAACTTGTGATGAGTAACTAACAGACACACTTATACTGGAGCAAAAAGTACCCTGGATTTAGCATACATGAGTCCAGCTGCGGAACAAAAGGTTACTGAGAAACATGATAACACCAACAGACTGACACTTCTCCCTCAATATGTGTGAAAATGAGTTCTTCACTGCACCAAAAGCAAAGAGAAGACACACAAAGTGGTGTGTGAGCCCCGAAACTCAGAGACCTGAGAAACTACATGCAGAGGAAGATACCCCCCATATTCTAGCAATTTACCTCTACTTAACCTGCAATAACCACAGTGAACGTTAGAGGAGAGAGAGGGCCTCAGAGAAGTAACTTTCAGTTTAATTTATCGACTCCTCCACAAACGTAAACCTGGTATCAGGTGAGAATTAGGCTATAGATGCTGATGGGCAACACCTCACTTAGCTGGACACACAAAGATATCAGGAAGGTGATAGGTGTGTGGGGGATCTTTTAAGGCTCAGAAATCCTCTGTGGAAACAGATACTAACCACTTGATGCAATCTGCTACGTTTCATAAGCATAATATAATGGCTTTTCAGAAGGAATTTAAGTCATACAGATTAAAAAGTGAACAACATCTTCAGTGAGGGTGTCTTCCTCTCAAGTGAAAAAAACAACCCAACTTTCCCCTACAGTATGCAACATCAGCAGCTAAAGTCTCATTTGAAAAACTGTTGTTATTCTCATGTTAAAAAAAAGAAAGAAAAAAAGAAAAGAAAAACCTAAGTGCAGCATGTGTGTGTGTGGGAGAGGTTTGGTTTGCTCATTCTGGATATAGAAGCAAAGGCAAGGCAAGGGTCTGAAATGAACAGGCTGTATCTTCTCGATGGGAAAAATGTGTATATAGCTTTAGGGTACTTAAAACATACCTTCCTTATGCTTGTAGACAACTGCTGAATTGCTGTTTTTGTGGCAGATGTTTCTCAAGCCATGCTGAACTTAACAAGAAAAACTTAAAAATTACTGAGCTGGTTTCTCTCAAGTCAGTTGTGCTGTTTAAGTTTTACCAATACTTACAGAACATCTAGTAGTTGAGCATTCTGGCTCCAATACTGTATTTAAACACTTTTTTGTAGGGCTATACTGAAGCCCTTACCTACATTTTAAGCAGTTACTAAATCCTGAGCATTCCATCGACTTTTAAAAAAAGGAATGGGAATTTAACTCTAGTAGTTCATTAAACCCTACTCTGAGTAAAGGGAGTTCACAGTCTGACCCTTCATTTCTTAGCGTTACAGACTTTGGATGCTATAGAAGATGCTAATTACAGTCAAAAGAATTTGATTCCATTACAAACTACTGTGCTCACAGTTTCTCTAAAACCTCCTTCAAGAATCAAAATTTTCCATATTTGGACTCTATCCATAGATGACTGATAGAAAACAATCCCTTAATCATAAGAGAGCACAGAAATGTTGTTATTCTATAGTTTAACAGAACGTTCCGGTAAAGCAGCTCAGTAAAAAATGCTAAGATGCAATGTGGTATGTGAATACTCCTTATTCCTTACATATTTTACCAAATTTGTAAAATGTACCTCTAGTATGGCCTTAATGCAAATTCTCTGATAATTTTGGAAGGCTGAGCAATAGAAAATTTCATAATTCTCTCCAAAGGTACTGCACTGTGTGTATTTCAGCATTTCCATGTAAGTAGTTCAGCACTTCACTCAAATAACGTTTTTGTTAAAAGTCTGACACGTTTTAAAGTGTTAAAAAGATTAAATACTTAGAAAGCGGAATTCATTCTGTTTTAGGTCAAATGTCATGTTTCTTGTCAACAAGATCTTGTCAAAGATCTTCCCATACTGGAAACCTGAAAATGTTATTTTGCTTCAGTCTGGCTTTTTTTCCTTTTTCTCTCTCTCTCTCTCTCTTTTTTTTTTTCAAACGATGCCCGAGCTGAAAAATACTTCCACTGGCAGAATATTAGCACATGCACTGCTGGAATTCAGAAGCTCCACAATGTTATTTATTAGGTACCTTTTCACAACTATTGCACATATCATATCCTTCAGAGCTAATTAATTTTAAAAGTCTGCAGAACAGGAATATTACTAGCTATGCATAAATTAACATAAGGTTATTAAGGCTATTCATACTGTACAGTCCTATTACTGTCCATATAAAGGACGCAAGAAATAAAAATAAAGCAATAAAAAAGCAATAAAGCAATAAAAATAAAGTGTAGTACAACAAAATTTGTGATCATATATAAATTAACATTTGGAAGACACAAGTTATTACAACATCCATACTGCATGGTCTTGTTATGCTGAAGTCCTATTGCCACAGAAAATAAGGCATAACAGTACAAATACAATGAACAAAATCAGATAGCAATTGAATTTGCACAAAAAAGTAGTGAAGGCAAAAATAATTACAAATAGGACAAAAAAACCCCACTGCAAATAGCCTGTCAAAAATGGTGCAATTTAACCTTATTGAAAACATGATTATCTTCCCTTCCCTGAAACAACAGTGCACTCTAGTGGCTACTCAAAAAATCTTGCTCCTTTGAAAAGCCCCATGTAGTTCGTAGTCCACGCTATAGCATCCCAGATGACAAGACCACCAACCACGTGCACCTTAAGGGATGGGCAGAAGGGAATCACAACACCGAAGCACATCCTAAGTAGTTAAGTAGTATTCTTCCACTTGAATCAGTCGAGCAACACCGATTTCTGCCAGATGAAGAGTTACTCCATATTTCTTATACAAAATACATTTGTACCTTCTACTGTTGGGGTGATTCTATAGTGGTTATTGGTTATTTTATATCGATCAGGGATTCTTAAAATCAAAGTCCAGTGTTTTCAGATTTTACTCTGAGCAGAAAGGATTTCATCCTCTTACACATGAGAATTCCTGATCCTTCCCTCTCTAGAATGGCATGAATATTCCAGTCTTTCCATGAAAATAAGTTGTTTTGCTTTCTCTAGACAAATTTCACTTTTTGTCCTCAGTTTACCTAATGTATATGAGCGGAAAGAGTTCAGTAGGACTGTGCCCTAGCTCTATTCAGGCTCAAATCAATTCAAAAGCACTGGGTGTTGCTATTAAAAATGGTATGTGCATAGAACAAAAAAAATTGACTGCCCAGCCAGAAACTATCCATTTGCTTGCAAACCTCACACTCCAAGAAGCATAAGACAATAAGACATGAGGCAATCATGAAATATATTTTTGCTATTAATTCTCTTATTCTCTATTTATGATTTTGCCACTGACACCAAGCCAAGCTAATTTAACAAGATTAATGCAAAATAGCAACAAAACATTTAATGTACTGCACAGCTGCATAACAAGATGCACCTCATCAAATTGCGAAAGTGAAATTCACAGTGATCCTGTCCTAAAATACTAGTGCTAGTCCCAGGCTTATCCACTATCTGAGAGACACAGGCAGACCCACTTCACAACATACACAGAGCCTGGCTACGGGAAAGGCAGCACAACTCTCTTCAAGTATACACCACAAAGGAAAAGAAAGAGTAGCTGCTTTGGATCCCACCAGGGAAGAGTTAATGGGAGAAATACTGATGATACAGAGAAAAGAAACAAAAGCTATGTAGTAGCTAGAAAAATGGGGCATGGAAGTTTATAAGACCCTGAAACAATTCATGTAAATGACACAGTGGAAAAGCAGAGGTTTTCCATGGACAGAGAATTCTGGCTACCAGAAAAGACGTTCTCCTCTAGGCAGGAGCTGAGAAACATTCCCAGGTCCTAGAGCATACACAAAGCCTGTGTAGATTACCTATCAGAGCTACAAGTGGCAGAGGTGGTGGCTTCACACACTTTTATCATGCTAAGCTAGTATTCAAGCTACAGACCCACTTCCTGGTTAAAGAACATCCAGAGGCTGAGACTCCTTTTGAATCGAGATAGGCACAGTTTCCAGAGCCCTTTACTTCGATCCTGCAAGGGAGCACAAAAGATAGCATTACTTTGACACCCAGAAACAAGTAATTCAGTGGTGCAAAGGGCATCAAATGATTGCAGATTCTCCTTGTACAATGCCTAATTTACTACAGCCAAGGCATCGCAGGGAGGAAGATGATAGCTTGCACTTTGGAGAGAACACTGCAAAGGTTGTCTTCTCCTTATCGGGCCTGGCCCCCAGATACAAAATCTAGAACTTGCAGTATACCTGCATCTTGTCGAGCAACTGCTTAATGTGAAATGTGTCCTTGGAGCAGAGACTGGAATTCAAATTCGCCTTTCTTAAATACCCTGTGCTATCAGGATAAGCTCCCTCTGACTTCCATATCCTTCTGTTCACCCAAGTAGTTCCAAAAGAAACTGTGAAAAATGCCTCCCTTTCTCATTTCCCTCTTCCTCATAACTGAAATGGCATTATGGTTAAGGGGGTGGTGAAAAACAGGAAATGAATCTGAGTTTCTTCACTATAGGTGTTGCTATGTAAGAGGTAAAAGTCTCCTTTACCAACTGTGTTTTAAAACAAATTGTAGTAATTTGGTGAAAAGGCCAGTCAAATTTGTAGGTGCTCTGAAAACGTCAGTGGGACAAAGTCCCAGTGTTACTTTAACTCTGGATACCAGCTGAGCTTAGGCATCAAGATTACAACGTCTGGAGTAACGCCCTTACAACACCCTTACAACGTCTGGAGGGGCAGTTTTAGGCATGCATAAAGGCAGAAGTATAAGAATGTAGGAAACTTCAAAGCTGAAAAGTAAAACATCTGTGGATGTTTGTATCACAGGCTGGGGATAAGCAGAAGTGGGAAGGGTTGCAACTTTGAACTTACATGCCTATGTTTTGCTTAGATCTCACATTAGATGCTTATGATCTTAATCGGATCAAGTCCTCAAGACTTTGTGAGGAACTGAACATAGCCAGGCAGCACTAGTGATGTCACAACTTATGGAATTGAAAATGTAAATATTCAAAGTTAAGTTCAGACTTCTCATATTTCAATTCATATTACTCTCATTAATTCCACTGACTCCTACTGACAACTGCCCCACCAACAGAAGCAGCAGCAGTCATTCAGGAGATAGGGAAGCAGTTGCTGGGAGGAGCAAACCAACCCACACTTGCCGCCAGTGAGACAGAGCACTGGCCAGTTACTACAGAGTAGTTCATTGAAAATAAATTTACTTCATTTTTCCCTTTTTCCCTCCAGTAGTTTTTTTGTACACACATACCATGAGAAGGATGAAGTCTCTCAATTAACTCTTCCATAAATCTCATTCATAAATCTCATTTCATAAATCTCATACTTTTCCAAAATATATTATATAACAAGGAATCCATGTTATTGGAATCTTTTATTTCTGTCCTCCTTAACTTTTGTACCTTAGTGGTCTCTTGGCTTAACTTTCTCTTTGCTATACTCTCCATTACCATGACGCCTCTTTTCATGTTACTCTGGTGTTATGAATTTATCTCTCAATTTTCATTCATCCCAGTTTTAACAGTATTGTGTGAAATCTCTGCTGTATTTCATACTCCTTCCAACGTTACCCCTTCAACATCATTACAGATGTTTCTTTCAAGTCACTGCCTATATCTGTATTAGTTTTCCTTTCTTATTTCTCCATAACCTGGTATCACTGCCAAACCCCCCCGTCATCAACTTACAGTTTATTATCTAATGCGTTCCCATTTACCCAAAAGAACTCTTCATTACTTTTATAAAGTCCAATCCACGGGTCTTGCTTTGTTATCTTCACTGCAAAATTCTGTATATGAGAAAAGAATATTTGTAGGTTCAGTCTAGTTTTCAAAATATAAAGTAATCGATTGAGGGATATAAAGCAAAAGAATGAGCTTGTTTTCTCCCAGAAGGAACAATATCAAAGAATACATCTAAAAAAATAGTATAGCATCTGGATCTTATGTAATCCACATAAACAAAAGAAAACCTACAACTTGATTAGAAATCAAAAGGATCCATTTTGAGCCAGAATTCCTGCAGCCCTCAGATATTATAAGGATAGAAATTCCTACTATGAGAATGGAAGTCCAGAACTGAATAGTAAGAATTTCTGTGGAACTGCAAACACATCATTTTATGGTCTTTCCACAAGAAAGTCTTCAATGAATCATGAACACCTCGGCAACTTCATCATACTGACTCCTTGCTCTCAAGTAGCAAGGATCTGTGGAAGACCTTTTAGAGACAGAGAAGCAAAGAAAGATCCTTCTCACAGTGTGTGCCACAGAATTGTCATCCATGCCCAATGTGCCCATTATACTGGGTGTTTCTGATGGGGTTTACTGACCTAGAGACAGGCTGTTTTAAAACGCCGAAGCAAGTGCTGTCAAGGCCTATAGCAGATGTGGGAGAGTATATTCTCTTGTGTCTTTATGCTAGATGCAATCTTTCCAAATATTGCAGTATTATAGAAAAAGAAATTTCAGGCTGTGATTAGGAGTACTACCTCCTAACTCCTACAGTCAAGGTTAACATATCTGCCAACACTGACTGCCATTAACAGAAGCAACAGTTTTCCCCCGACAGTGTATTTCGGGTTGTAATAGAGCAAAAAATTTAACTTAGATACATCTCAGGCATTTTCTAAAATATTAACTGTGAAAGCTGATACTGGAGTTTGCAGGGAGAGGAGGCACACAGCTTTCTGCACTCTGTGACTTGTCACAGTCATCAGATTTGAGACTGTGCAGCTTATGAGGCTGGAAAAACACAAAGGTTCATTCTGCCTCTCCCTACAAGCGAGATGGGATTAAACCATCATTCCCTTTCTGTTCTCTTACCAGGTCCTGACGATTTTCAATCACAAGGAGGGAAGCATTGTGTAACGAGCAGAAGTTCTGACTGGAGTTCCAGTTGGCTTCACTCTCTGAGAGATAGTAGCACTTCCTTCGGAAATAGAGCCAATCTGCTGGACAGAGTTCCAGGGAAGGACAGCCAGCAAAATTTTTCTCTGAAGAACTGTTTACTGCTAAAAGACAAAAACAGTCCACCTATTTCTTCTGACTAACACTAGAAAAAGCTTCTGGAGTTTTTTAGCTTGCCTTCTGATTGCATCACCTAATCTCATCCAATTCTAACCATAATGTCACTATTTCTGCCCAGCAGAAGTAATTATTACAAACTAATTGTACATTCTGGCTCCTGCACCCTTATGGCTGCTGACACATCTTTAAAGTGATGATCATGGACAAGTAGGCAGACCTAGATGAGAAGGTGATAAAAATGTCTTCTTCAAGGACTCTTCTGTAAAATAAACATTTCTCAGTGATAACCATAGCTTCTGCAAATGTTACTTTCTTGTAGCTGCATTAATAGCTGTATTAATAGTCATTTTCTGAAAAACTACAGATTAGTTGCAAAGAATAATCTTCCATTAGTTATTTGTTTTCTTGAATTTGGATCGATATCAACAGTAAGATTATAAATGTGAATGTCGCATTAGGACTAAACTGAGCATTCAACTCCACTGCAACTACTGAAGTCATTTCTCCAGCACTTAACCTCAGTTTTAAACAATGTCACATGGGACGTCTATTTAACTTTGATACATGGTAAGTTTTATACAAACCCAATGAGCTTTTTAAAATCTATAAGGACTTCTTACCACCTAGAATTCTAGTAATCACTAAGGCTAATTATAATTTCTTTTTAAATAATTCGTGCACTTACCAAATTGAATACACAAAATCAAAACTGTAGCAACAGCAAGGACTCCAGCAACACCTCGCCAGAACCAGATATTTGAGAATAGACCTGAAAAGAAGAAACGTCAGAGATTTCAAAAAGATAGTTGAAAAGGGATTAGAGCCCAGGATCCATTAAGCTATTCCAAAAGAAGTCACTCTCCATGGAGAGCAGGCTGGTAGCAGTCCTGGAGTGTGTGACATCTAGCTTGTTATCACAAAGCTGCTGAGCTAACAATAACTAGGAATTACTATGAATCGTAATTACATAATTCGGAACTAATTCAGAGCTAATAGCGAGGTAATTCCTTATACTCAAAAGCAATTGGAAAAAGAAAGAAAATAACGTAGAACAAATGTGTGTGAGACAATAAGCCTGAGACAGACCTGATGCCTGAGCATGGCACGGCTAAGACAAGTGAGGCAATCCATTAATTCCGGAGCCCAAAACTTCCACTGAGGAACTTCCAGTCTCACTCACCCCACAAAAACACCTTTTCTAAATTCTTCTTTTCTTCCCATCTCCCTTCTAGGATTGCACAGTAAGCCAGACTTGGTGGCAGGAAGGTCTCGCCAATCTATCATTGCCATTTGTTCTTTCAAACTTTGCAGGTAAAAGGAAGGGACGAAGCACCCAAAGCGTCCCTGAAAGTACAACGGCCTCCTTGGAAAGCTTTCTTCCTCCATCCGTGGAGTGGCCAGGGCACACAGGTGTTATTACCCAGCATTTACACGCAACACAAGCGTACATGCGACGCTGCTCACAGGGCAGTGGCAGAGTGGGCTCCTACTCACCACACACCCGCGCAGCTTCGCCCAGGCTCAGGCATGCTGCAGCCTGCACGCTGCCCCCGAAGCAGCAGGGGCTGCTCCCTGAGCATCCACCCAGCCGCTCAGACGGTCAGGTGGCCCGGGCCAAGCCCTATCTGCTACAGCCTCCTACCCCCAGGCTGAAGCCTCCGGCCCCTCCAGGACAGGCTGAGACTGCCAGGGCAGGAGTGCCGCCAGGGCTGAGGGCCGCATC